AGTATGGCTGATGACTGGATAAAGAAACTGCTGCCGCCATGTGACCTGTTTCCATCATCCGATCAAAATTGCTGGAATCCCAGTTTACCAACAAAGGAAAACGAAGGTGATTTGGAATATTGGTGATTTGACGTTTTCAAAATCATATCCAGTTGCTTGAGTAACTGTTTTTTGGCATATCATTGTTACCTGGATGTCTAACCTTCATCGACGTGATTTGGAATACTTTGGTACCCTGGATTCTTATGTCATTTATAGAAATTTTAGGCCGGACGCGATAAGCCGACCTCGCCCACTAGGTTTACGCTGACCAGTGCACGGTGATTTCCTTGTTTGGATCACGCGGGGACGCCTCGTTTGGATTGCATGGGCCACGCTCAAAACTTTTCCAAAATTGACCAATCAGAGCCCGTAGAAATACATGTGCTTGCAACTTGCCCCTCTGTCCTCAAGATTTTCTGTTATCGAGGGCGGCTGTTCAGATTTACCTCCCTTTTGTCTTTCCCGGGCTGTTGCCGAATTTCGGACTCTACCTTCATTCACATTCGTTGGTCACGTTCGGGACACTTCCTCATTGCAGTAAGTCGTTGTTTCTCATTGCAGTAAGTCGTTGTTTTGACCTCTTTTTTGTTGTTTGTCCGAGGAGAGAATTCCTTGTTCGTCTAACAAACATGGCGGAAGGGGGTGTCCCGTTACCTCCGCCACCCGGCGGATGTTGGTGATCGGCCATTCCTTCATATATCGTCTTGACTCTTTTGTTGAAGGGCGAGCCAGTACGGCCGGAGGACGCATTGTCAAACAGACACTTCTGGCTTGAAAATTCTATTGTTAAGTGGTTGTCGCGGTCGGGGGGGAAAGTGGCTAATTTCGGCCCCCTGTTGAACGCCATCCCCGTCGCCGATCTTGTGTACCTCGAACTAGGTCACAACGATCTTTGCGACACATATTGGGAGCCAGACCTGGGTTGCCATGCGTATTGTTAGTCTGGCGACCTTGATCAGGAATAGGGCTTCTGCCCAGCATATTATAATTTGGCGAACCACTGGCTCGGGTATACGACCCACCGGGTATTCCTTATAACCAGACTTTTACCCCGTGGTAATCTCTCAGCTCTGAGGAAGGAGGTGAATGACACCTCGCACATGTCCACTTGGACCCATGTGCGTTTAGTACGCAAACACTGCCCAGAGTTTTTTGCCGATGACGGACTACATTTGTCCGCATACGGCAATCTGTTGTATTATAAGAGTATCAGGGGCGCTCTGGCAGCAGCAAACCACACATACCTCGCTTGTTCGTAGAGCGAGCAAAAATATTGCCCCCTCCCTCATTTCTCCCTCGGCCTGAGATTGAAGCCAATCCCACACTCGACCAAAATTATCCCATGTTCATTTCTGTTTTTCTTTTCGCCTCAGTGGGCTCGTTTGGCGGGCTTCTTTTCGGCCTTATGTTTATCGCGATAGCTCTCTTTGGTGGTGGAAAAAATTCTTGATTGACAATAGAATACTAGTATTATGATGTATGAAAATTTGTAGATTTGACATGTTATCTTTACATAACAAATCCTATCAGAAATTGTGTATATCGATTCCCATGGGAACCACCAGGCGAGTTGCCTAGTGTGGGGAACCATGGTTTCCTACGACTGTTTTTATTGGGGGCTGATCCCATTCTGACATTAAAAATATTCTTATTCCCGCCAAAGAGCAAATCGTGTTGGTTGATCATTTGTTCTGGCTGTTAAAATCTGTTGTATCGGCTAGAGAGATAGGCATAAATTCATTTTCGTGAAACGAAAATAGAAATTTAGGCCGGACGCGATAAGCCGACCTCGCCCACTAGGTTTACGCTGACCAGTGCACGGTGATTTCCTTGTTTGGATCACGCGGGGACGCCTCGTTTGGATTGCATGGGCCACGCTCAAACTTTTCCAAAATTGACCAATCAGAGCCCGCAGAAATACATGTGCTTGCAACTTGCCCCTCTGTCCTCAAGATTTCCTGTTATCGAGGGCGGCTGTTCAGATTTACCTCCCCCCCCACCCTGTCCCATACACTCCGGTAATTTTTGTGTTTTCTTGCTATTGTTGTCGGGACACTGTCGGTTGTCTGTCCGTATTATTGTCGGGGCACCGATTGTTGTCTCTCTGTATTATTTTTAATCTTATTTTTGTCGGGACACTGTCGGTTGCCTGTCCGTATTAATGTCGGGGCACCGATTGTTGTTTCTCTGTATTATTGTTAATCTTATTTTTGTCGGGACACTGTCGGTTGCCTGTCCGTATTAATGTCGGGGCACCGATTGTTGTTTCTCTGTATTATTGTTAATCTTAATTTTGTCGGGACACTGTCGGTTGCCTGTCCGTAATAATGTCGGGGCACCGATTGTTGTTTCTCCGTATTATTGATAATCTTATTTTTGTCGGAACACTGTCGGTTGCCTGTCCGTATTAATGTCGGGGCACCGATCGTTGTTTCCATATTATTGATAATCTTCTTGTTGTCGGGACACTGTCGGTTGCCTGTCCGTATTAATGTCGGGGCACCGATCGTTGTTTCCATATTATTGATAATCTTATTGTTGTCGGGACACTGTCGGTTGCCTGTCCGTATTAATGTCGGGGCACCGATTGTTGTTTCTCTGTATTATTGTTAATCTTAATTTTGTCGGGTCACTGTCGGTTGCCTGTCCGTATCATTGTCGGGGCACCGATTGTTGTTTCCCCGTATTTTTCATAATCTAATTTTTGTCAGGACACTGTCGTTTGCCTGTCCGTATTAATGTCGGGGCACCGATGGTTGTTTGTCCGTATTATTGATAATCTTATTACTGTCGGGACACTGTCGGCTGCCTGTCCGTATCATTGTCGGGGCACCGATTGTTGTTTCCCCGTACTATTGATAATCTTATTTTTGTCAGGACACTGTCGGTTGCCTGTCCGTATTAATGTCGGGGCACCGATTGTTGTTTTTTCCATATTATTGATATTCTTATTATTGTCGGGACACTGTGGGTTGCCTGTCCGTATTATTGTCGGGGCAATGACGGCTGTCTGTCCGTATTATTATTGGTATTCTTATCATTGTCGGGGCACTGTCGGTTGCCTGTCCGTATTACTGTCGGGGCAATGACGGCTGTCTGTAGGTGAGCTACCGCAGGACGTCCCGGAAAAAGAAAAAAAAAAAAATTAATTGTCGAAGTACTGTCGGTTGCCAGTCAGTAGGGCAGAGCAATTCGTATTCGAGGGTCACGACCATATTGTACCACCGCTGGGTTCCTGAAGGTGAGTTACCTAAGGACATACCAGTGAGTTCCACCTTTTCTTGACATATCAACGCTATTGACAAGTTATTATTATTTCTTTCCTTTTCAAAATGACCCGATATACTTATATATACTTATACCCACATGTATCCATTGATGCACCAATCACGATTATCCTATATTTATTCATTTATTTATCTCTGAAGATCTATTTCTAACTTACCCAACGATTTAATTCTGTTCCTTTTGTCTCTATTTTGAGCCCGTGCAATGCCACCTACCAGAACAGGCGGACGGAGGGCGGCGAGACAGTCTACATCAGTCACCGTGGAGGAGCAGTCCACGACCGGGGATGGACATACGCAGAAGCCACCCAAACTCACCATGAAACGTTGCAGAAGCAGCTGCACGACCTTCAGGAGGTCACCACGAGACTCATGGACAGACTTGAGACCAGTGCCCACCCACTAGCAGTCCCTACAAGCGTTCAGGGGGGCGTGGTTGGAACTGCTACAGTAGGGGTGGACAACCGACGACCGTAACAGCTGCAGTAACCACTGCTCCTAACACCGTCACCACTGCATCAAGTGTGTCGCTGTTACAGAACAGTATCCTAGCGACAAGTGTCGCTACCTCGTCCAGCACCGTCCCTATCTACTCAACGACAGCGACGCTCGGCCTGTCACCGCCTGGTCTGCGCATGCCATCACCCAGCAGCATCTCCCAGTCTCTCGGACTGGGCACCACTCTGGCCTCCAACATAACAGGGCTAGGTAACGCTACTAGTACAGTCAGTAGCTCTGGGCAGATACATGTAAGGCCAGTGTCAGCCATTGGTGATCCGTCTTCAATCGCTTATCGCATGGACAATTCTTTGATGCAGGCGGGTGTCCATCTCCCCCTAGACACGGGAGTTTCAGTTATGATAAAAAACAAGATCTGGGAGGACAAGTTCGTTGATTTCAAAAATTTACTCCCGAACTCCCGTCCTCGTTCTCAGTACACAGTCAACTTGGACTCCTTGGAAGGATCACCAACCCTGACACTGGCGAGCCCCTCAGAGAGCAATAAGCAATACCTTACTTTGTCTCAGTGGTCACTGGCTTTTTCTGTATACCACTACATATATATCCAAAAGCATCTCGCGCGTAGCCCCCAACTGATAATGTACTCACACCTGATCAGATCCCTTGCAGAGCGAGGTGCTCAGTGGGGAAAGTATGACGTGCTCTTCAGGCAGCTTCGGCACAATACCCCAAATCTCCCCTGGGACGTGCCACATATGCAACTCTACGTAGATGCATTCAACCAGTTTGGCTCGTCTCCTACAACATCCAAGCCCCGACAACAACACTCACAGGGCAATGACAACTCTCTGCCTCGAGGCTATTGTTTTCGTTACCACATCTCCGGATCATACTGTCCTAACGCGACAAATTGCCCCTACAAACACACATGCCCAACCTGCTCCGGCCTGCACACAAAGTACACGTGTCCCAAGAGCACCCAGCCCAAAACTGCCAACCCCCGTGGACGTTAACCGCTTAGCTGTCTATTTAGAGGGCTACAGTAACCCTGAAAGAGATTACATAATTCGTGGTTTTACACTCGGCTTTGCCTTGGATTATTTTGGCCCCAGGCATCGCCCGGCACCTAACTTCATTCCCTCCAATTCTTGGCAGTCCCCAGTTATCCGAGAAAAACTTAAATCCGAGCTCGAGGCAGGGCGAATACTTGGTCCTTTTAAGACAGCCCCTTTCCCAAACATATTCCTGTCTCCATTATTCGCAGTGCCAAAAAAGACGCCTGGCAAATATCGGTTGATACACGACTTGTCCCACCCAGCCGGCAGCTCCGTTAATGACGGCATCCCTCGGGAATTCGCTTCTACTTCGTATGCTAATATTGATGCCGCAATCAGACATATCAAGACCCTAGGTCCAGGGTGTTACTTGGCTAAGACAGATATACAATCCGCCTTTCGAATCATCCCAGTTCACCCAAACGATCAACACCTTCTGGGGTTCCAGCTTAATGATGGGTTCTACTACGATAGATGCTTGCCAATGGGCTGCTCCACTTCCTGTGCTATTTTTGAAGCAGTCAGCACCGCGTTAGAGTGGGTGGCAGTACAAAAACTCAACATACGATACCCCACTCACATTTTAGACGATTTTATGTTCGCAAACGACACATACGCGTCTTGTGAACGGGATCTTGCAGCATTTTGCGACATGTGTCAAGACGTAGGGGTCCCTCTGGCTGGGGAGAAAACTCTCCACCCTGATACAATCATGTCTTTCCTTGGGATTGAACTTGATACCATAGCAATGGAGGCGAGATTGCCCTTAGACAAGCTATATAGGTGTAGGAATGCAGTTCAAGAGTTCATCCAGCGCTCATCGGCTTCCTTAAAAGAGATTCAATCGCTAGTTGGACTGTTGAATCACGTATGTCAAGTAGTTTCCCCGGGTCGCGCTTTTCTCCGCCGTTTGATTGATCTAACCAAAAGAAAGTCCCGTAAGACAACACAAATAAATATAGACACAGGGGCTCGACTGGATCTACAAATGTGGAGTGAATTCTTGGAGCAATTTAATGGAAAGTCCTTTTTCATAGATGATCATTTTATCAATAATACAACCCTCCACCTATACACAGACGCAGCGGGTTCTCTGGGATATGGCGCTGTGTTTCAGACTGCGTGGTTCTTTGGAGATTGGCCCCACTCTCTCCGGAACATAAATATAACCATACTAGAATTCTACCCCATTGTCGTAGCTATCTTTGTTTGGGGTAAGGAGTGGTCAAATCGAAGCATTATGTTGCACACGGACAACGAAGCCCTCGTCCATATTATCAACAGACAGACCTCCAAAAACCCATCAATCATGCCACTGGTGCGCAAATTTGTACTTATAAGCCTTCGTCTTAATATCCTGTTTAAAGCAGTACACATCCCTGGGTCAAGGAATGACATGGCTGATTCTTTATCCCGGTTGCAGGTGGACCTCTTTCGGGAGAGATATCCCCACATGGACCGGTGCCCGACGCACATCCCACCCTATCTCCAGCCCAGCAACTTGATCAGTCCAGTGAACACCTTACTTCTGCACTCCCTAGCGCCAGGCACGGTCAATGCGTACCGCCTTGCGTGGAAACATTTCCGTCAGTTCAATGTAGCAATTCATGGCAAGGACACTACACAATTGCCCATTCCTGAAGCGCTGATAGGCCGATTTATTGCATACCTACATCAACAGGGTTTCGCCCCTTCTTCTATTACATCTAAGATTTCTGCCATCAGCTTCATCCATAAGTTACAAAACCTCACGGATCCCACCTCAACTTTCTTTGTCCGTCAGTTATTACTATTCAATTCTAGAGGAACCACGCACCAGACGGCAGGCTGCCTATCACCCTTCCCATCCTCCACAGATTGATACACTCTCTAACACACATAGTTCCCAAGGAATACGATAACTGTCTGTTCAAGACAATGTTCCTATTTATGTACTACGCTTTCGCTCGCGTCGGCGAGGTTGCCATCACGCGCGAAGCCCAACACACGTTGACAATATCTGACGTTCACGCTGAGTTAGATGCACACGGTAACCCTACTTCATTCGTAGGTCACATTTAAGACGTACAAGCATAGCAAGGCGTCCAACCCGTCTACCATTTCTATTCTGGCGCAGCCGGACAGCCGATACTGCCCAGTAGGGAACATCAGGCAATATCTACAGTTGAGGGGGGGAGGACCGGGGTATCTGTTCCTGACACAAAACGCTTCTCCAGTTACCAGTGACTACTTTGCAAAAGTGCTTCATGCTTGCGTCATTCAGACAAACCTAGATCCACACAGATATACACCGCACTCGTTCCGCATTGGGGCAGCAACCCAAGCTGCTTTGCAAGGTGTTCCTGATACAACCATCCGGAGGTTAGGGCGATGGTCCTCAGACGCATTCAGGAAATATCTTCGTATGTAATACTGTAACAAAATGTCTCAGTGGCGAGTGGTAATATCCTAGTAACAACAGTACTGACTCGGTGGTGAGTTACCACGTGTCGGGATACCTGCACAGTTTATTATATCCTGCAGTCATTGTGCTTTTAAGTTTTAATCATTACTTTCGTCTATATCAGGCGGTTTGTTCCTATTAACAACTGTTTTGTTATCTTTTACCGATACACCAAATTTGTTCGGTTGTATCAATTTTACTCACCAAGTTCTTGCAGTATTCATATACCAAGTAACATTTGTACCTAGTTTTTTAATTTTAGTTTTGACTAATCCCATTTAATTATGCTTATGGTCCAGTTCCATGTTCAAGGTATCAACTTTTTTTTTTGGGATATTAGTCAGTTAGCTCCTTATATATACCAGCCGAGTTATGTTCATGACATGTCTACCAAGTTCTTCACGTAGTTAGATACGTCACGTTTTACTACGGTGTTTGTATACCAAATATATATATATATTATATATACATATATGTATCCATTTATTTATATGTATACACATATTTCTTTTCGTGTCTAAAAGTTAGCAATTATCAACCTTTGTTACCAAGTTAAGTGGTGGAAAAAATTCTTGATTGACAATAGAATACTAGTATTATGATGTATGAAAATTTGTAGATTTGACATGTTATCTTTACATAACAAATCCTATCAGAAATTGTGTATATCGATTCCCATGGGAACCACCAGGCGAGTTGCCTAGTGTGGGGAACCATGGTTTCCTACGACTGTTTTTATTGGGGGCTGATCCCATTCTGACATTAAAAATATTCTTATTCCCGCCAAAGAGCAAATCGTGTTGGTTGATCATTTGTTCTGGCTGTTAAAATCTGTTGTATCGGCTAGAGAGATAGGCATAAATTCATTTTCGTGAAACGAAAATACATATTTTAATAAGACTCAATATAGAATAAAATCTAATAAATCCTAATTACTTAAACTACAAGGGATTGGTGATGGTACTAGCCTGCAATTATCATTATCCAAACTTTTCGTTTTGAAATCACTTTCAAAGTATGCCTGCAGTTGTCACCCAAGTTTGTGTTTGCTTTTTAAAACTTGTTAGAAGGAATTAAAATCATGGAAACGGTGAGTCCTTAACTCCAGAGGGAGGTTTGCTTAAGCAGCTTGAGACCTTTCAGAAGCTAAAATAGAGGCAATATAGACTTATAGAGTACTGAAGGGACCACATAACCTTAAAAACACATAGTTCCTAGAAGAGGAAAATTGGCAGTTATCTGTAATAACTTCGTGTGAAATTGATGCATTCAGTTGCCTGTTGGCACAAACACTGAAAAGGCGGATGATAATATTCCCAGGTACTGCTAATTGCCTTCGTCTTGGAAACAAGAAAACTCTGGCACGCAGCTCTCTTATGTTACTTTTGATTAATGATAGAACCAGCCTGCAATTACATTTGTATCATTATCAAAAATTTTCTTTTTGATATCACATACAAAGTATGCCTGCAATTGTGGCCTACGTTTCATGTTTGCTTAACCTTCTAGAATAAATGAAATAATCATGGCAAGTCTTTGGTGAGTCCTTGACTCGTGAGAGAGGTTTATTTGCTGAAGCAGCTTGAGACCTTCCAGAAGCTAAGCTAGAGGCAATGGAACTTTTCACATTTCCGGACTACAATAACGCTCGGTGTGCTTCCCCTTAAAAGGATCCTTCCTTCATCCCGAGGTATGATAGTTTTGTTGTCACACCGGAGCGCCCAACCGAGAAACTGATTTATCTCTCAATCACCTGGAGCTTCGTCGTCGTGTCTTCTAAGGATTCGTGCAATCTATTTTTGTTACAAGACGCCTTTCATTTATTTATTTGGTTTTGCATACGTGTTTTTCTAGATCCTCTGACTGAAGTTTATTGCAGAGCATTTAACAACATAAACCAACCAATAACAGCATCTGGAAAATGGACCAGACTATTCAGAGCGACAATTCAAAGCGGCCTTGAGCAGCTCCCTTGGCAGTAATAAAACATATTGCATATTTCTTGCTGAATCATTGACCATCAATGTCGTATTGATAGTATTTCGCCTCTGTACAGAAGACTCGTTGACTAAATCAATAAAGGGCTTTAATAGTTCAGACATCATCGGTTGGCAAAGGTATGTGTATGAATGACTGTTATGTTACACATACCTATCTCTAGTAATAGCGCATGCAGCTGAGTCCATACTAATATCAACAGTACTTATATCAACAGTACTATTCGATTGTAACACTATATCAAAAGACAGACTTGTGCTAGCCCTTGTTGCTTGAGGAATTAGGATTCATTAGGTCTTATTCTGTACTTTTTTGTACTTTGTTAATTTACTTTGCCATTCACTGTACCATGTGCAATTGTCGTGCAAAAAAAGTTCTTCTGTACTTATCATCTCAGCACTTGATGCCATCAACAAAAAGCGCCCATTAAAAGTTTCCCGACGAAAATTATTCGCTCGAAAACACTAAACGTCTGTAGCAATCAACCGATTTGACTTCATGAAATTATATCTGATTAACGATATGTGCTTCCATTTGCAGTATGCTGACACATACGTCAAGGAGTCATTTAAAAGTCGAGAGCGCATCTTAAAAATGATGACACATGTGTCTAGGGACCGTATGCTCCAATCCGTTGGGAATGATAGACATTTAATTCATAGATTAATCTCGCAATTTCCGTATGCTGTAGGCCCTTGTGGAGTTCCTAACCCAGAGTTCGGAGTCAAGCTGTCGGGTAGTACGAGATTAATAAGTGCGTTATTAGACTCCTTTTAGGGGCGCCAGTGACTTCAAAACTTCTCAATTCGTTTTAGCTAACACAGTGGTGTATGAACTACGTGTGAGGCGTGTTTAATGATGATTCAAGGGCAGTGGCCGACCATGACCCCTTTCCACTAAGACAGAGATCTTTGATTGTTTGATGATAAAAAAATCACAACCTTTGGGTTCTAAAGTATAGACCTCTTGTGGGAAATATTATAACTTTTCTACCAATCTTGATGTACACGCATGGAATTTTATTGGAGTTTAAGTTCTCCTTTAGCTCTAGATCTCTACTTATGACTAAGTGAAAGTTTTTGAATTATTATTCGAAGCACAACAAGACAAAGTTTAACCAATTTATTTTGCCAGCCCCACTAAGTGAATGTTCCAGTATGCATTTGGAAAAAATACCCAAATTGATAACTTTTCGAACTCTTTACTCCTTGATGATTTTGTTGAAACGTACCTACCCCAGTGTGTGAAGATGATGAATAATAATTGCATTTATATGACGGCACCTTTTAAAGCTTGTGTAGAATGACTGATATCACACTATTCTCCGAAGATACAGGTCAGAAGTTAGCCGCCAGCTTGGTTAGTCATGTTGCAAATCGGTTCTGGCTTTCCTGTCATGGTGGCCAACCCAGACAATTTAGGGTCATAACATGCACTATAGCTGCATCGATTGCTGGAAGAGTTCCAGAACCATTTTACAGACTCGCCATTTCATCGAGGCAGAATATGATATTTCCCCTGCCTCCAACAGCTCTGATGAGGCGATCATAAGCAATTTGGAAAACATTCACACGTTTAAACACCCTAGCAGAAATACATGGATCAATTGTGGGTCGGGTGGCGTAGAGTATGAGTATGACCGGGTTCGATTCTGAGTTGTACCTGGGACATGTCTGGACAAGCGCCCCGATGTTGTGCCCCTGGGAAAGTCACTATACACGACTTTCCTCACTCCACCCAGGTGTGAATGGGTACCTAACTTCGGTTGGGGAAAGGCGTATTGAGGTCACCTGGTGGTGCCGAATGGCAGCCGCACAGACCCTTGCGACAGTTCCACAAAAGTGTGTGTAGAGCAAATATGCTATATGTATCATTGGTATTATTTGATTGTAAAATATGCGTCAATTCAGTGCTATAAAAGGCTGCGATTGCACAGTAATGTTTGACCAATAAACCATTTATTACAGCAACTTGGTTCAGGATTTACGAAACATCATGGGACAGAAGCTGGAAATGTTAAGTGAAGACACCCGCACCTTTTTCTGTAGATAAAGAAAATGTCTTTAAAAAGGCATCCAAATGCAGTTTTTAATCCGATTTTTCAAAGCCAATATTCTAACCATTTATCTTCATAGTGAGTTGAAACCACACTGTCCCGATGTATATTGATCCTCGTGGACCCAAAATTCCCAAAATCCTGATGGAAAACGGTTACTGTAAGGACCCTTGGCTGGTTTTAGAGTAAAGGACATATTTTGGGGCTTGTGTCTGCAGTTTTAAGTACCCAAAGTATGAAACACTGACTGCAATGTGCTACTGTGAATCAGCATATGTCAATATCAAAAAGATTGCCTTATTTAGCATATTTACAGTTTAACTGCCATGAAATCGCGTTGGATGCCTTTAAACAAGGTCCCCTACTGATAGTAGCGAATGTTCCTAAGAACGTAAAGCTACATGTTAAGGTAAGCTCCTGCTATTTTAAATGTTGTTTTCTGCGTAGTAATGCGACAGAAAGTGTAGACAAGCATATATCTGACTTCAGTTAACACTGATATGTTTTCTCATATTCTACGTACGTAACTACATCTTTTCACCACAAGTTATCTGTCTAAGATGATGAATGGTGGATGTCTTTCCTGTGGTGGTAAGGGAATACATCTTTTGTAAAGCAGTTTTTAGGAACGTGACATGAGTGGAGAGATATCACTGTTGAATAGAACGATAGTTTACTTACCTGTGAAATATTAAAAAGTTCGCTCATCACAAGTTAGGCCATGTTGATTTGATTATATGGATGACATCCGCGCGCGCATGAATTTTCGGCCGTTTCCAAAAAAAAAAAAGTTTTCAACCATACTGTAAATCGTACAAAACAGTTGCAACATGAGCATAAATATACCATAAGTTACAAAAAAAAAATTAATAAAAACTATACCAATGTCGTAGAATGCCAAAATCAAACGAAAAAAGACGAAATTGTAAAGAAATGAACATGAAGACTAGATTATTCGCCAAACCATATTCTGTGCCATTTGCTCAACCCTCATGACCACGTAGATTTCATAATGAAAAGAACTTTTTTTTTGCAAAACTTTTTTTATTCGCACGCGCGCATCAATTTTGGGGCTCCCGGAGGATGTCATCCATATAATCAAATCAACATGGCCTTATCTGTCTACAATGATGAATTGTGGATGTCTTTCCTGTGGTGGTAAGGGAATACAACTTTTGTAAAGCAGTTTTCAGGAACGTGACATGAGTGGAGAGATATCACTGTTGAATAGACACCAGTGCAATGTTATCATCTGTCTTTGGAACTGACTTAAGAATCTATGTACCGAGTTAATGTCGATAGATTCTGATGAGATTCTGGGAGCGATTTATAATTTTCAATATAAAGATGCAAGACTTATGACTTAATAGAACACGATCCATGAGGTGAACAAACTTATAATCTGAAATACCAAAAAGTTCGCTCAACGGTCACTGCCTCAGTGGAAAATGAGGGTTAACAAATTCTACTTTAATCCTCTACTTCTAAAGGCAGTCGCGTTGTTTGAGCGCTCTTCACATTGACCTAGAGGCTTTCAAAGTAACATCTATCACCATTTAACATGGTCGATTGTTGCATGTTGTAAGTATTCTGAGACTACCAAGAGCCAACGGTCGTGATTCACCTTAATTTACCTACATCCTTTCATCACAAGTTATCTGTCTACAATGATGAATGGTGGATGTCTTTCCTGTGATAATAAGGGAATACATCTTTTGTAACGCAGTTTTCAGGAACAAGACATGAGTGTAGAGATAGCACTGTTGAATAGACACCAGTGCAATGTCATCATCTTCTGTCCTTGGAACTGACTTGAGAATCTATGTACCGATCTGACGTCGATAGATTCTGATGGTCGCCTTTTGGGAGATTCTGGAGTGATTTATAATTTTCAATATAAAGGTATGAGAATCCTCTTTCCACTGGATGCAGATTTGTATGACCTATGACTTTATACAACACGGTCCATGAGGTAAACAAACTTATAATCTGAAATACCAAAAGTTCGCTCAACGGTCACAGCCTCCACAGAAATTGGGGGTTAACGAATTCTACTTTGATCCTCTACTTCAAAAGGCAGCCGCGTTCTTCACAATGACCTAGAGGCTTTCAAAGTAACATCTATCTCCATTTAGCACGATCGATTGCCGCATGTTGTAAGCATTCTGAGACTACCAGGAGACAACGGTCGTGATGAATTGTAAACAACATAAACCAACCAATAACAGCATTTAGAAAATGAGCCCAACTATTCAGCGAGAAGCGGCCTTGAGCAGCTACTTCGGAAGCAAAACAAAGATAACGAATCGTTTCTATTCCTCCCACAGGGCGGTCGGAGTCACGTAGACCCTTTATCAGTGGAAAGTATAATGAAGAGATGCTTGTCTCGTTATTTTGCACTACAAAGAAATTTCTGGTTAAAAAAAGACTCACGAGAATAAGATTGATTTGCCAGGCAATGGCGCAGCTGACTTTGCTAGTTATGAAGATGCCCAAGAGGAATCGCCTTCTATCACTACACCAGTAGATCTACGTGGATTTATTGGATTTATGTCATATTTGCGTAGGAGTGAAGTAAGGCCAAGGAAACTTTACATGCCATTGTACGTCCGGCAATGTTTGCCAATGACAATGGCATTGCATTTCCTTTATGTCTTTTAATACTTGCCAAATATTGCGTCAAATGCCAAAGGCTACGGTTACCTTTACTATACCATGATATATTCTACACTTATCACCGTTGTTAAATGTCACATTTCGCGCAATGAAGGGCGGTTCAAAGAACTTCTTTCTTGCCGTTTCTTGCTTTTAGTTAAAATAGGTCAAGAGGCCTGTTAAGGTCCACACCTTACAGTCATGCAGTGACAGAGATAAAAATTCCCCTGCAGAGGGCAAAATGTCGGAAAGATCCACAGTCGCCAGTCTACAGTCGTGCATTGATAGAGATAACATTTCCCCCGTAGGCTTTAGGATTCCATGGATGGCCTGTCGTGATTTTCCATCATGGAAACGGCAGGGCTCGAAATAACTGGGTGCATGTGCACCTTAGTGCACCCAAATTTGGAACTGTGCACTCAATTCTTTTCACCCACCGTGCAATGCACCCAAATATTGTCGTAGATTAACATATGTAAAGATGTTAAATGTATAGTAGTATACAGTATATTCTTAACATATAAATGTCACAAAAATGATAAAATCATTGTTCTTTAGACATGAAACATAATTAGTTTTTGTTGTCATTCTACTTATTTTATTTTACATGGTGCACCCAAAAAATAGTTTTTTTAGGTTTGGTGCACTAGTGCATCTATTCTAAAAATTGAATTTCGAGCCCTGTCACGAGAAAACACAGCGTAGCACGCGCGACAGGATGAAAGGAGCCATGAATAGATAATCAAGAAGCGAGCCGAGACCTAGCTGTAGGTGGTAAAAACATCTCATCTAAATCCCAACGCAGCTTACCCGCACCGTCGGATCAGCACCAACTCA